TAGAGCTGAGGAGCTCCAACTAAAGTTGAGGAGCTCCAACTAGAGCTGGAGAGCTCTATATAGAGCTCAAAAACTCCGACTAGAGCTGGAGAACTTGAACTAGAGCTGGAGAACTTCAACTAGAGCTGGAGAACTCCAACTAGAGCTTCAATTACAGCTGAAGAACTCCAACTAGAGCGGGACATCTTCAACTAAAGCTGGAAAGCGCCAACTAGAGCTCAAGAACTCCAACTATAGCTGGAGAACTCCAACTAGAGCTCAAAAACTCCGACCAGAGCTGAGGATCTCCAATTAGAGCTGGAGCTCATGTAAGAGAAAGAGCAGCATTTTCCCAAAATATGGACATCGTTATTGTCTGTCATCTTGAGGAGGCTCAGCCCCTAAAACTGTCCTTTATCTGCATGAACTCGGCTTCTAAAGCTGCTCACAAACCCTGTTTGGACCCATAATTCAGCAGATTTGGCTGTTTCTGTAGGAAAAGAAATCACTAAATATGCTAAATAGACTTTCCTCCTGCTTCTGTATCCTGACCAACACTCTGGTGTAAAATCCCCTTTTTTCCCAGAAGCAGAGGTCAGTTTGATAACATTTCTGAGTGGAAACAGTCAGAAATCTTTCAGGTTTGTTCAGTAGCTGCAGAGAAAGTTAAAAAAAGGGAGTTTCTGGAGCCAACAAATCTGTAAGGAGCGCTCCCATTTATCTGATCTACACAGGAAGTAGAGGGACAGGATTCCTGAAAAATGACAGGAACTCTGTGAGAGCGGAGGAAACCGGATCTGGGCTCAGAAAGGAGCCTTAGAGCTCAAAAGGGGGAAATCTGGAGGTCTGGGAGCTCCAAGTGTCCATTTTAGGAGCAGAGCTTCATTAAAATGACACAGAGGGTTAAATCACATGATTAATTTCTATTTCATTTCTATTTTTACGTTTACACAAAACTTAATTCTTACATTTTTTATCTAGAACTTAGATGAGTCGTATTTTCTTGACAAAAAGTTTCTGTTAAAAAATAAGTTATGAAAATTAAATATTGAGATTTCTGTCCTTAACGCTCCAAGACTTTTAACAGCATTTTATTTTGAGTTAAATATACTATCATATGTCTTCTTTATTCATTCTGTATTTATTGTTTGCAGGTTTAAAAACAGGTGAAGTGTTTAGATGTTTACTGTAAAACATTTGGTAAAAGGATATCAGGCCCAGTCTGTTTTTTGGATGCACACTGGTAGATAAAATTAATAAAATTAGACGTAGAATTTCTACTAATTTAACTTATTAAGGAGGTCCAGCTCCCTTCTTCCTAACCATGCTTTAAGATATCAGTACATTGGCTAGCTAAACGCTAGCTAAAGTAAGATAACATTAACTAAAGTAAGCTAGCGCTAGCCAAAGTCAGCTAACACTAGCCAAAGTAGGCTAACGTTAGCAATACTAAACTAACATTAGCCAAAGTAAGCTAATGGTGGGAAGTGGTCCATGGAGTATTTCCATAAAATGGAATACACACTAAAGTCTTTTTCTTTTTTTGTGTGGCAAAGATAGACAACTTTCATAAGTTTAAAATATCTCAGGACATCGAAACCCCTTCTTCCAAGAGCGCGTCGAGCTATCGGTATGCTAGCTCAAGTATGCTAACAGTGATGAATGATCTGCTAGAAAAACATTTTTCTCCTATTTTTGTGACAATGATAAACGTGTTTTGCAATAAGATATGTGAGAGACCTGTGACATTTTACAGTTTTTCATTAAAATTTCCTCTCTTTTATATAAATGTGGTGATAAGGGACTTCAAAACGCCAGTCATGTAAAGCGTTAGCATTTTAGGATCTGTTCACATCTTTGGTCTGTGGGGTGGCTTTTCGCTTAAAAAGGAGCCTGTAAATGTTTTACAAACATAAAGAGGGAATGCAGTTATAACAACAATAAGAATAAAAACTTGTAAACACAGATGTGTTTAAATAAAAAACAAATATTTTAGGAATAAGTCATAAAGAGTTTTTCTGGCTGACAGTTTGTGCCTTGATCATCATGCCTTACGACTTCCAGCCACTTTGGACAAACTGTGACGTCTCCAGT